TCGAACATGATCATCCAATTTTTGTTTCAGATTTGCATAAGAATAAAGTGGAGGCTTTTTACAGAGATAATTGAACGTGAACATGACTTTTTTTTCCTTCTTCTTCAGAAAAGAAGAAACTTATAAAAACATTCAAACCCTAGGAATGAAGGAAATAACACACAAAATAATAAGTAAATGGTTTCAAATTCCAAAACCAATGTGCGCACTGACACCTGAACCCGGTCTGTTACTTCACTGGACAGCAATCACGCCCTCTCTCTCTCTCTCTCTCTCTCTCTCTCTCTCTCAGAGACTCTATCAATATTCTGTAAAAGAAGAGAGAAAAAAGAAGAAGAAGAAAAGCGAAATATAAATATAAAAGAGGAAGCACCGCCCTATTCGACCATTAACAGAAATGGCATTGAAAATGAGACCCAATATCAGAGAAACTTTCTTTCTTTCGACTAATCGAGAACACTGAACGAGGTAGGGCACGTATAGTGTCTCCATCCATCCACCTTTGATTCTCTCCCCCAAAAACCAAAACCAAAACCCCCCCACTGTTTTCAATCCTTTAAAGCGCTCGCCGCAACTTCACCCTATGGAAGACGAACACCCCCTCTCACCTCCAGCAGCCCCACCTCATCACCCTCCCCAAGACAACGACAACAACAACAAAAGCCCTGACTCAACCACCGCCTCCACCGCCACAACACCAACAGAAACCACCAACAAAAAGTGCAAGGGCAAGGGAGGCCCCGACAACAACAAGTTCAGGTACCGCGGCGTGCGCCAGCGGAGCTGGGGGAAATGGGTGGCCGAGATCCGCGAGCCTCGTAAGCGGACGCGGAAGTGGCTTGGCACCTTCGCCACCGCCGAGGACGCAGCCCGGGCCTACGACCGGGCCGCCATCATCCTCTACGGTTCCAGGGCCCAGCTCAACCTCCAGCCCTCCGGTACCAACTCTCAATCGTCCACGCGTGGCTCCTCTTCCTCGTCCTCCTCCTGTAACTCCTCCAGCCAAACCCTAAGACCTCTGCTTCCTCGCCCCTCAGGGTTCGGCCTTACCCTCCCTTTCCCCTCATCAGCCCACCCGGTCCCGCTCATGGCATCGGGGTTCGTTCCGTATGGTGTTGGTGTCGGAGTTTACCCTAGCGTCGCTGCTGCTGCTGCTACCTCGTCCGTACAGCTGAGTCAGCATCATCCTCATCATATTAATATGAGAGACCAAGATAATCTTCAAAATAATCCATTATTGCACCAACAACAACAGCAGCAGCAGCAAGTTGCGGTGCAACAATTTCATCATCAGTACCCGGTATCTGACGGTGGCCGTGGTGACACGTCAATCTCATATCAAAATCCAAACCCTAGCCATGATCAATACCAAGAACTACTTCATCATAATCAAAACAATCAGGCCGATTCTTGTTCTTTCGATGACGGGAATTCGATTATGGGCTCCGGGTTGTCTCTGTCGTCTTCGCAACCCATGCCCGTTGCACCGGGGTGCTCGGATCCGATGAGCGGAGTGGGACCCATGTCTCCGTTAATGTGGCCGTTGACGAGTGAGGAAGAGTGTGCGCCGAGTCTTTGGGACTATGGTGATCCTTTCTTTTCGGATTTTAAAGGATTTGATTCCTGATGATGAAGAATTCAAGATCTTACATATATATTTATATATATTTATAGTTCTGCATGTCTCTTTTGAAGAAGAACAAGAGAGATACAGTAATGTACTCAATTCCTTTCAAAGTTGAAGCTTTATATGTCGACTGGGCTTGCATGCAAGGTTTCACAGTGATTTTGGTTTACAAATGGGTTGATGAAGAGTATTAATTTACAAGATCGGCCAAAACTTGCTTGCGCTTATGGAGTTGATGAGACAACAGTGCTGGGAATATGAGTTTGATATTCACGAGGTTACAAAAGGCATACCGAAGTATTGGATTGAAGCTGGTGGTGATGGATAGAAATGCTTGGTGAGCACAAGGGTTTGGCAATTGATAAATGATGATGCTGCAGAAAGATCGATCTAAGGTAAGGTTTTCTTTTTAATTTTCTCTTTATAATATCAGATTATTATTAAATACATAGGGTGTTTTACTCATTTTTAGGATAGGTTGGGACAAAAGAAGAAATTCGATCGATCGATCCTTCTTATTTTATTTTTCGTGAACTGAGGAAATATTGTATCCTTTTCTAAAGAACATATATATAAAAAAATCAAAAACTATATTAATTAGTTATCTCATTTTCTTGATCTGAAAAGGAAATTTGAGGTTTAGTGTGTAATTAATTGTGTGCATTAGCAACAAGTTGGTAAGGTTCTCTTTCCTGTAAAATTTGTTGGTGCCTTAAATTTGGCAAGAGCTAGTCTTCCTATTTCTTTGGACTTTGGTGCGCCTCAAAACCAAAGAAAAAGGATTAGTATCTCTGCTTCTTAAGATCTGTCAAGACACTCATCAAAGCATCAATCTTCAGGTATGACTTCATCTTGTCACTACAATTAAGCTCTTTGTGTAAGCTTTTGTGTTAGCTTCAAAATTTAGAACTTCATTCATAATTGTCAACCTACAAGTAGATATATATATATATATATATATATATATACTATGCATGTATATATTGTGAGGTTCATAGTTCACTAGGTAATTATTGTTAGCCAATTTCTTGACAACATAACTTTTTTGTCCTAACGGTTGTTTAACATATGGTATTGCAACTTTGGTTCGAGGTTGTCTAACATAGTATTCGAGCTCTAGTTTGACTAGCTCCTTAGTTCGAATCCTCCAAGCCCCATTCCGTTATATATGTTTCGAGTGATTTCTTGTACGCCTAGTGGTTGTCTAACAATTAGAAATGTCTCGAAGTTTAACTAAGTACCCTCTTGATAATCTTTAACTTGTATATGATCAATATTTGGTATTTCGTTGAGCTAGATATTGAAGTAGCAACTAATTTGCGTGCAGTGAGAGCATGCATATCTCATGGGACAACATAAGTTGATCCAACTGAGAAGATTTGAGCCATGCATGCGTCAATTGCTACTTCTTTGCTGTGATGTTTACTTTAGATTTATTAGTTTAGGATGTACGCATTCTCAATCGTGACAAAACAAACTTTTGCTTATCGTTATAATTATTTTTATTTGGACATGGATTTATGTTATGTTGTATAAATTAGTACTTGTGTAATGCACTACAAGTATTGATGTGAAATAAGTGATCGATGTTTGGTATTTGAGGGCAAGAAAGACAATTTGATTATTGAATGTCTGTATTTTTAGGTTAGGCCCAACCTCAACCGTAGCCGTTGTTTTCAATTACTTGTTGTGAGCTGAGCTGAACCTAAAGTTGTTTGCTGTTTTCCTCATTCTAAAAGGTTGATTTGAGTGAGTTTGGGCTGTTATCCTGATAGATAGAGAATGTCCTTTCAAAGATTAAGGTGGCCTTTCGTTTTCTGGATGGCTAATTTCATTCTACTTTCAATAGTTTCCTACCACTATAACTTGAGTGTTATTCTTACAAGGCTCCTCCTACTTTGCTGCTCATAAGTGCATGTAAACCACTATTAAGTGTGTCACAAGTACACCACTAATTCTTACAACTTGGAAATTCAAACTATTTTCATTCATTTCATTGTATATATTATCTTCGTAGTATTTCAGTTTTATATTCTGGGAACATAATCCAACAACTTTGTCGACTTTATATGGCAATATCTATAACGGTCCAATGCTAAGTTGATTTCAGGTGACGCATGTTTTCCATCAAGTAATTTCCCAACTTGGATTTCTTCTTGTCCCCTCATAACAATCAATTGTAATTTTTATTGGAAAATGCCAGACTTATCACATTTTTATACCACGTTGTATATCGGGCACCTCTATTAGAGAGGTGGTATACAATGTGGTATAAAAATGTGGTAAGCCTAGCATTACCCATTTTTATTTACTATCCGTATGTACCTCCGAAGCAAAGTACTAATTAATTACTTTATAATATCTCGGTAACTATTGACAACAGATTGAAGGACAAAAGCATAATTTAAAAGAACGATAGTATTTTATTGATAAGATAAACAAAACAAATACAAATCAATTAAGGTGCCGAATATGAATATAACTTTTCTCTATTGATCAAACGCAACAACACCCAGAAAATGATTAATATTCCCGAATCAGCAACTAGAATCACATGTACCATATGTATGAACACATAAAATGAGCAGTCAGTTCAATGATTGGCGATATAAAGTTTTGTGAATGTTCTAGGCTTAGAGTACTATATATATATATATACAATAATGGAGAAAACTTGATCGAGTTGAACTTTTCTTCATAAGGTAAAAGACAGAGATAACCCAACTTATCTTTTGCGTTGATTAGATTAGTTTCCTATTTTATGTTCAGATGGATTAATAACTTAAAACTTCCGACTAATAAACATTTGCAACACGCAATTTTGCCAAAAGAGAGAATGGAGGACAAGAAACACCCAAGACCTCTCCAATTTGACGGTAAAAGTAAAAAGTTAAAAAAAAAAAAAAGAATTTTCAGAGAAAACTGTCTGAAGACTACAAGACCAAAAATGAATAAAAATAATACAAATTTATAAATAAACTCAATTCTGGACATGTATTTATAAAAAAATCCAAACACCATTTAAACATAGAAACACACCCAAAATCAACAATTGTATATTTTTTGGGTGTGTTTATAAATGAGTTTTGAGTGTGTGTAATGATGAGTTTTGGGTGTGTTTATAAAGTGTTTTGGGTGTTGAATTTTTTCATAATTTCAGCCCCTATTTTGGGTGTTTTAGTGAAACTCCCTAAAAATAAAGGAGAAATTTCATAAAAGGAGGCCCAGAAAAATAAAAATAAAACGTGAATAAGTTAATTTAGAGGATAAAGATAGCAAAATTCCAAGTAGTCAAATGTGGGCCCTCATCCAATGGTAGAAGCCCAATGGGTTTGCTTACAGAAATATCTTATTCCGAAAAAGAATAAAAAATAAAAAAATCATTCAAGAACTGTGTAAAGCCACTACTCTCTCAGCTGTCTTCGAGCAAACAATTTCGCCACCAAACCAACCAGCCCCTACTTACTATATAAACCCTTCCTCTTTTGCTAATCACATTCTAATCTTACTTAAACCCACTTCAAATCTTCACTAATCAAAGGCGATCCACCGACCTTCTAAATTCCAAATGGCTTCCTCCTCCCAACAATCTCAGCCCTTCGACGGCCACTTCACGGTGCTGGACGACACCCAGTTTCATATCCGAGGCCGCACGCTCTTCTTCGTCATCGTCCTCTTCACCGTCGTCCTCCTCGTCACCGTCCTCTTGCTCTACGCGCGCTGGGTATGCCACTACTACCCCAACACCTCCTCCTCATCCAACGCGCCGCCCAACGCGCCGCCGCAGAGTCAGCCCAAGGGACTCGACCCCGCCGCCATCCGAACCTTGCCAATCGTCCTGTACCAGCAATCGGATCGGGACTTGGAGGCTGGCGGCGGCGGAGAGTGTTGCATATGCCTCGGGGTTTTCGGAGATGGCGAGAAGGTTAAGGTTCTGCCGAATTGCAGCCATTGCTACCACTCTGAGTGCGTGGATACGTGGCTCGCGACTCGGTCGAGTTGCCCGCTGTGTCGAGCTCAACTCCAAGCTCAGTCCACTACTTCCTGATTTTGCTTGGGTTTTTCCTTTTTTGGAAATAATTTACTCTATTTTTCCTTTCTATTTGGATGTAGAATAATTTAATTCATTGTTATCCTAGATCTTGTAAATTATTGTAAAGCAGAACTGTCCTTTGTATTATCGTCTTTATTTGGAGATATTTTAGAGCTTTTTCTTCTTCTCCTTTTCCTACTCTTGTCGTGGTTTGATTTTCCATATATTTTATTGCCTGAGGAAACTAGACGGAGATTGAGGCATAAAAAATGAATGCTTTGTTCTTTC